GATTGAAGCAACCGTAGTATCGCACAGAGGCAGTATGTTGTTTGACGTCAACGTTGGTGATGACATCTGGGTTCGCCACCACAACCAGATCCGACGGCGACATTGCAGTAACACAACTGGGCTCGATTCGGCGCCGTCACTCTCTCTCGACATCCTACTGGATACCTTCGCCATTCCGGCAGACCAGTCGGTTCCCGAATCCACTTTTGCGCCCCCTTCGGATATACCATCTTCGGTCTCAGTTACCGTTCCCGTATCTCCAGGCATTAAACCACGACTAAGACGCCGGACCGACCGCGTGCGCCGATCAACACGCCTGATGCAGGTCAACCCACGCCAGAAGCGGTACTGACCTACTTGGAGGGGAGGTGTTGGGAGTGCCTACACTGCCAAAAACAAGAGCCAGCCAATCACGGGAGACCACGTGCGTTTTCTCTACTGCGCTGTCATCTTAATCGTGGCGCCTCTCCATTGGCTTTTCCTCGCGGGCCTGATCGATCAGCATATTCGAATTATCGACCGGCTCGTCTCGAATGTTCTTCCCGAAGGGCATTGGGCCGAACGCCGGCGAAGCACCGTAAGGCGTTATAAATACGCGTTACTTCCAGTTCATTTTGACTTGCATTTTCCTTATACACAGTTTCGTGGCCGGTCGCGTTCTGGCGGGTCATAACATCAAGACAGTGCCAGTGAGACCGGAGGCGGAAGAGGGCGCATGTGAATGGTTCGGTGGAGCCCGCACCTTGACTCTCCACTCCCCACATCCAGGTCCACACAGCAAATGACCGGCATTTTCATGGACAACAGCACCACGACGGGCCAGAAAAGGGAGAATGACTGGGCAGCCATGCGAGATCGCAAGGGCATCTTTCATCAGGAACTGCCAGCGCATGGTTTGCTGGTCCAAACATAAGTGACGCTTACAGTGCCTTTGGCAGATGGCTCTGCATTTGCTTAGACCCTCATCCCTCAAGGCTAGGTAACCAGACGGTCGTAGGCTGAGAGGCACTATCCATACAACACACACATGCGTGAGAGTGTCACCGACCGTTTAAGAAGGAGCCGTGAAAGCCCGGCCCTCAGCCCACCAGTCCACCACTCCACATAAACACACACAACTGGACAGACTGCGTGGATTGAACTGTGGCGTCGGCCGACAGCCTTCCATGCTACGGCGCTTGTTGCACCGTGTTAGTTCCAGATTCGGACCACTAATTCAGCCGCATGGAGATAGAGCCGAGAAGCACACTTAGATCTTAAGTGAGAGAGGGCTATTTGGTACTTGTGGTGACTGATGGTGTTGGGGGGTGCGGGTGCCGTTGGCGGGGGCAGTGGGATGGTGTATTTTAGCTGTCGGCTGTAGATCCCAGGTCTTTGTGAATGTGCATGTCTCCTATTGTCTTGCGACCAATCATATAACATTTCGGACTCAATAGGATGTCTGCTTTTGAATACGCTGCTTTTCAATCTCCTGTAGAAATCGTAATCGGTACAAAATGATTACTTATGTAGTATGCATTTTTCCAGTTGATTTTCGATGGTTTTGCAAATTCAAATATATCTTATAGGAACCATAAGCAAACATATGTTTTCCTTCAGTCGTTTGACCGTGAATCACGTCTTTTTATATTTTATATCCAAGGAAGGAGTATAGTTAGGTTTTGAAAGAGTTTCTAATTATGAGATTTTTTTAAGACCTCGCAATGTCCATTCACACAGCATCCTACCTCGCCGTTTACCACAGCCCCCCATGAAGTGTGCAACGTAGTCGCATCCAATGCAAAATTTTATAGACTCTGCATGATATCTTTTTAAAGGCATAGAAAAATATGTGATTTTCTTTATGCGGAACGCATGCACCTGTAGACTGAAATCACTACGCTCTAACTCAATGAATGATCAGACTGCAAATTATTCGTCAAATATAAAACTTTTTAAAACTTAATTATACTCCTTCCTTGAGTGTAAAAAATAGAGAAAACGTGATTCACTATCAAACGGTTGAAGGAAAACATATAATTGGTTATGGTTCCTTTAATATATATTTAAATATGCAAGATAATTAAAAATCAATTTGAAAAATGCATACAACTTTACTGCTCATTTTGTACCGAGTACGATTTCTACAGGAGATTGAGAAGTAGCCTATTCAAAAGCTGACAACCTACCGAGTCCGAAATGTTATACGATTATGCCCGCAAGACGATCGATATTAAAACCGCGACCAAGTAATCCTTTGTAATCGAAAACGCATTTCAGAATTTCAGCCAACATTTCATGAGATCGGTCACTCACTGTATGTTGGCACGCCGGACACTGCTTCGCCACACTCTGTGCGATGAAACCGCCGGTGACCGACCGGACCGATAGCGTCATGGAAAAGGACCCGAGGACTACGCTCACCACATGGGTCGGAAGTGCTTATTCCCTACCCGCGGCGGGTTATGTGGAAGGGGTTCGTGAGTGGTGGATGCGCTGATGGAGGGCAGTAATAGTGAGGTTTGTTCTGCAGTGGTTTACCGCAGATAAGAATTGAGGCGCATGTGACTGATGGTGTCTATGCGATGACTGGGTGTGTACCGGCCGTGCAGACAGTTGAGATGATGGCGATGGGTGGATGTTGGTGCTCCTGGCACTGATACGCCTGCCTCTGTGAGACAAACCCTCATGTTTCCGATCAGACCGAGGCGTTATGCGAATGTGCGACCGCAATGAGGAGACGTTGAGATTGAATCCCCATAGTTGTTTTTCCTGTCGGTGAGTGCGGGAACCGTCGGGGGATTTGGAGGGAGTATTCGCATTGGTGGTGGGTGTAGGAGTGGTGTTAGTGATCGTTGTCACCGTTGCGGTGGTTATGGCAGGCGTGATGGAGGCGGGGCAGTGGAGACCGATAATCTCGACTGATGTATCAGAGTACCAGAAACGCTATCACTGATGATTGCGGTCACCGTCTTGCCTTTTGTTGGAGGAGGGACGATGAAGGCAATTGCGGAGGCAGCGAATGGAAATGTCGGGTTGTCGTTGCATTGTGTGGGGAGATATCCAACGAAAAGAACACACGTGTGGAATGTTCGTTGTCAGCGTGAGCATATTAGAAAAAGTTGAGTGTTACAGTTGTGTGTCGGAAGTACTTGAGACCTGCGAACGTCCTTTCGCTGTTGGCATCGGCGATCTGGTTGTCCTCGTAGATTGTTGCACCAGTCATTACTACATTACTCCAGGTCGGTCGATCCTGGGCGACGTCCTCTCAGGACTCTGAGAGGTCTTCGTACTGTACTTTTAGTGTCGTTGTTATGCGCCATCTCGATGAACGGCCGTAAGGACATCGCTGTAGAAGAATCGTTTGGGTAAACGCACTTCATCCATCCTCGCGAGGTGGCCACTTCATTACCTATGCATGCGTTCGCTTCGTAGTCGCTGCGCTCTCATTCGGCCGACGTGTACTGCTTGCTGAAGCATCATCTCAGCTCCTCTTAACGGAACAAACTCTATCCTAAGGCTGTTTGATTCCTGTTCTACTGCTGAACAGAATTCACACCAGTTGTGACCACTATCGTGTACTCATTGTCCGGGTCAGTAAATGTTGATCCAGACAAGCGACACTTCTCGGTTTGACTGTCTTCACCAAAAAATGTGGAGCAAGGATGATTCGTCTTCTTGGTGCTTGTTCACTGGGACTATACTTGTGCAAATGTTCAGTGACTTTAGATCGCAATGATACTTTAATTCGACTGATAGCAAAATGTCCTTCAGTGTCCTTCTGCTTCCACCTGCAGGATGGATCTGTGTGCAGGTAAGTAGCTCAGCGAACGCCCACTTGCTATACGGTAAATATCCGGCAAACGTCAGCGACTTCAAGGCGGCCGTCGGTAGAGCAAACACTTTCAATAAACAACGGATATCAGTTCGGTGTGGCTGGATTTGGCAAGCGCCCTTCACAAGGCATACGCGTGCTCGTGCATGCAAACGCCGGCCGAAACCACAGGTTTTCGTTTACTACCGACGGCCCGTACGACGTTTTACCTACATTCTACGCCTAAAGTTGGCGAATTTTAAGGCCCCTCGTTGGCACAATGTGGTTTCAGCAGAATGGGGCACCTAAACTCTTCTCCTGAATTAATAAGTTGATTAAGGTGAATCAGCAAATCCCTTAAATGCTCGGTCCTCGCTGATAGTCCTAACCTTCCTTGTGTGCAGAATTAGCAGCAATAAGGACTATTTTGTGGATAGTTGATGGCATGATATGTAACTTATTTGGAAAAACTGTGGTTGGTTATGACCATAACGCTAACTGCCTTTGTCCTTATCCCGTAAGCATTTAGAGAGAACTCGGACGTAAGCGTTACCTCTACCGAAGCTTTAAAATTCTAGTACTTATCCCAAAACCCTAACCCTAAGCTTCTATCGGTAATCCTTACTCCTTCTGGACTGGACGGTGATTGCTTTTGCGCGCTGTATGCACTCTCGCTGGTTATACGCCACAGTAGAACGCATGCAGCCAGATGAACCACACTGAGAATGATTCTTCGAATGCAATTCCCTCGTCGTACAACAGTCCACAACAAACATCACTATGAAAACACAAAGAGCAACAACATAACAAAATATGTCATAATAATGCAAAGAAAATTCCATTAGAACCATTATCAATACATAACAGCAATTATCCCCAGATTCATCTGGGGCAACCTTGTTACGACTTACCTCAAAACTATCGAGGAACACGGGTAGTGTGTACCACCTTCACGCCAACAAACTTATTTAGTACTACTATCAGGTTCTAAAACATAAGCCAATTACAGGCATATAGCTTATAAATGTTAAGCATGAAAACGCCAATATGCAGCACATAGACTTAGCTTAAATATTGATACACAAATTCAAGCAACTAAGCAATAATATTCAACCAATCGCGCGTATCTACAACCGCCGTTCACGAACTCCGCTTCGCCGACGACTGCGCCCTGAACACCACCTCGGAAGAGAAGATGAAACGCAGCATGGACCTGTTGTCCGCCGCCTGCGAGAACTTCGGTCTGGTCATTAACACGCAGAAGACGGTGGTGATGCACCAACCACCACCTAACACCGCCACAGTCCCCAACGCGCCGACGCAAATCAGCGTGAACGGACCCCAACTGCAAGTTGTGGAGAACTTCCCGTACCTGAGCAGTACTCTCTCCCGCAACACCAAGATCGACGACGAAGTCGCCAACAGGATCTCGAAAGCCAGTCAAGCCTTCGGCCGCCTCCAAAGCACAGTTTGGAATCGCCACGGTCTTCAACTGAGCACGAAGATAAAGATGTACAATGCCGTCATCCTGCCGACACTAATGTATGAAGCGGAGACTTGGACGGTGTACGCAAAGCAGGCACGCCGTCCGAACCACTTCCACCTCAGTTGTCTTCGCCGCATGCTGAGGCTGAACTGGCAGGATCGCATCCCCGACACCGATGTACTGGAACGAACTGGAATCCTGAGCATCTACTCCATACTAATACAAATGCAGCTGCGCTGGAGCGGCCACCTGGTGCGCATGGACGACGAGCGACTACCCAAACGACTCTTCTACGGAGACGTCGCGACGGGTCCTCGCCGTCAAGGCGGCCAGATTCACAGTTACAAGGATACCATGAAGTCCTCCCTGAAGCGTCTGCAAATCAACCCGACCAACTGGGAGGAGCTCGCACTCGATCGACCGACCTGGAGGAGGACAGTGAAGACAGACGCTGCGATCTACGAAGCCAATCGCATCGCTGCCGCCAAAGCGAAACGCGAAGCCCGCAAATCACAACTTCGCCCAGTACGCAACGCCGCCGCACAACCACTTACAACGTGTCCTCGATGTCAACGGACATTCCGGGTTCGAATCGGACTTGTTGCACATCTTCGGATTAACTGGCTCGGACAGCGGCTGGGGTGTGGGAGTGGAAAGGGAGAGTGAGGTCGACGATTCAGCGCACTTTCTCCTCACTATAAACAATCTGACGCGCTTGAAGCTCTCACGGTGCGCTAAAAGCTGTGGCTTGGAAGGTTGCCAACTGACGGGCTAACTTGGACCTCCTCCTTGACTGGAGGCGGTCTGAGAGTCAGGCTGCAATGGCTCCTTTTCAATGTGGCCTTTATGGCACTCCCATCACAGTGTGGGATCCGAGCCAGGCGTTGGCGGCACGCCCAGGTGCGGCTTCCGCCGTGCCAGCCTCAAAATCTCTGTTGTGTTGGTTGAAGTCCTGGTCATTTGTTGTGTGGACCAGGGGGTGTGGTGGAAAGCCAAGGTGAGGAACCGTCCGAGCCATTCACCTGCGGCCTCCCTCGTCTCCGGTCTTCTTGACTCTGTCTTGACACCGGGCTCGGGCGAGGGAGGAGGAGGGAGTGTAGGTAGATGTTACGCAAGCCTACTGGCACTATAAACCCCCTGCACAAGTCTCCGTCCTTGCTCCCATTGCTGCTGCAACTGTGGGGCACACGGTGGACATCAACGAAACCGATCGTCGAACTGTCATTATTCAACCAGATATGCACCAACATAGCCGAGGTAAATTAATAGGCGGATCGTCCTTTAAAACACACCTTCCCCTGACCGGAATAACTCACTGCCAAACTATTTTAGTTATAAAACTAAGCTCAGTTGAATAGTTAGTAACGGGGATCTCCAATCCCCCTCACTACACAGTTATTTACTGCCCCGAGAGATAACAGTAACAAAAATAAAGAAATTTTACCTAAATTTATTTATAATTATCTCCAAACAAAACCACAAGAAGCAGAGAAAACAGAATAACCGCGGATACTGGCATTGGGCCTGATAACCTCTATCTTGAGGCCTTTAATAAAGCCCACGCTTAAATAAAATATTAATCGCTAATAATAAACAACAAAGCATATTTATGAAATTCATCTTAATACCCTTTTTACTGCCATATATAGGCAGATTAAACCCAGAATAATTACATATTCACACCAGCATTTACAACACTGAGACCCTAAATCAATGAGTTTACCAAAATAACCCGCAATCCTTTTGTAATAACGAGTTAGAACAATAGATAGGAACCGACCTGGCTTATGCCGGTCTTAACTCTAATCATAGGGGTACATACGGTCGAACAGACCAAAACTCCTAACAACTGCGCCAGAACATTTAACCCAAGTCAACATAGAGGTAGCAAACAGTTTAATTGATAAGATCTCTAATAACCAATCACTCTGTTATCCCTATGGTAACTTAAATCTATAACACTCTAAAGGGGTCGAAAAGCAAATAAAATATCTTCACTTGTCCCAAGCAAAAATTTAAAGATCCTTGGGTCTTTTCGTCTAATTAAATAACGCAAATTCTGAACTCGCGTCATCAATTTCACTCAAAGCCCTAATGTTACTCACAACCACGTCAAACCATTCGAACAAGCCCCCATTTAAAAGGCAATTAACTATGCTACCTTCGTACAGTCAAGATACTGCGGCCATTTATAACAAATAGAGCAGGTACTGCCAAATAAATTAGCATATGGAAATGTTTTAATAAACAGACGGGATGGAATTGAGATACATAAAAACTAATATAATTACTTATTAAATGATAGTTTAACGGAGTATAATTAAATAAAAGGAGTTCACAAAATAATCCAACTATCACAACCTCACGCCACAATTCTAACAAACTCTATAAAGAGAGGTAAATTTTACCCTTACCTTACACAGCAAACAAAGTAGATATATCCACCCACCTGATCTCATCACCAGGTGGGTTCACAATTACCAAAACCCCCAAACAGATATAAAGTTTAAAGAGTTATTTATCACCCCTAACGCCAAATTTTAACACCAATGCTCGTGTTAGCTTTCCAGCTAACCTAACGCCAGATCTAAACTTTTCGATATGTACCCTAAGTTATCTACATCCATTTAGCATGATGCAAAAGGCAAACAAACCTAATTAACCCAATTAAAAGTTCCACCAAACAGGCTTAAGGGCCAAACCACCCTACCCCTGATTTACAAAATCAATATCCTCATAAATAAACTAAAAAGCCAACACCGAATAATCAACAAATAAACCACGCACAAAAAATTTACTAAAATACGGCGCCGGTGACCAACACAAATTAAGCAAATTTGAAGAACTATTATAATAACCTATAAAAACATTCTTTCTGGCCAAAGACTCCCATAAAATAAAAATGACAAAAACAATCACAGAAAGCAGAAATAAAAGAACTTATTGAACAAAGCATAATTACTCAAGCATAACCACATTCATATACACAAACACGATGAAGTAAACCACAAATACCAAAATATTGCATAGGAAAAAAACACAAAAACTCACATTAGATACAGTAGATGTGCTAATTCATGAAATGTCAACCAAAATTTTGAAACGCGTTCTCGTTTCGAAAAGATACATTAAGCAGGGTTATAAAAATTAAAATGATCCAGTTACCTTAGGGTGTCGGCTTTCGAAAGAATTTATTTTCGGCCGCATGCAAGATCTGTACTCCGCAAAAATTGACTACTTATGTAGCATGCAATTTTCTCATTGATTTTCGATGCCCTTGAAAATTCGATTATATTTCATGAAAAGCATGCATAAAAATATTCATTCATCTACTTATTCGGTAGAAAAACACGTCTTCTTTTAATTTCATACTCAAAAGAAGAGTGTAATTCGGTTCTAAAAAAAGTTTCTTATTGTGAGTGTTTTTAATACCGTTAAATGGCCGTTCATGAAAAGTCATGTATCTGCATTTACGAATGTGGCTTGCAAAGTTAACAATATCGCTCAAATCCAATGCTTAATTTTATGAACCGCAGGCCAAGGAAGAAAATGCTACGCCTCCCTCCTACACGACAAATACTAGAGAATAGTCGATATACACCTAAGAAAAATATTAACAAGACCAAACAAAAAGGTACAGATTCTAAAACAAAATAATCTTTACCAACAACGACAATTCAAACACACCCACTACAACTGAGTATAATAAAGTAATAAGAAACAATAAAGTTAAACCCAAAAACGAATCCAACGAATTTGCACACTCCGAATCAAAAAAAGGGATAAATTTATACCAGATCAATCACAAAAAAACCCTTAAAACGGTATTAAAATATGAGGCAATCTTCGAAAAAGTTAGCTATCGCTTTCCGTCTAACTCCCCCGAAGACGGAATTAAAAAGAAAATACTAAAAAGACAACACAGGTATAAATAACCAACAGAACTACCAGAAAAAACAAAAGGAGTACAACGATAAATAGAAAGGATACCCAACCTCATAGTGTAACCACTGAAAAACATTGAAACAATCCTAGTCGCTTCAGCATGAACTATAGGCAATCGAGTAAGAAATGAGAATAAAGGAATCTTGGTTACAAATATAAAAGCCAAGGCGGCGTATATCAAAATGCACTCACCATTATAAGCCCATAATTTAAAGAAGATACTCCCTTTAACATAAGATAAGTAAAATAAAATCAAGATTAATGACAGTCTCGTAAACAGCAAGTAAACAGAGAAATATCAACCCGCAATAAAATGCTCAGAGTAAGGAGAGTTACAAAAAATTAACTATAATAAAGGAAGCAAGGAAAGCTCATGAAAGCAACAAAACAGAATTGAATGAGTATAACCAAAACACAAAAATCTCAAGATAAACCGCACGCTTAGAAAAAAAATGCTACGCATCACTTCTACACGACAAATACTAGACAATAGTCTATACACACCTAAGAAAAATATTAACAAGACCTAATAAAAAGGTACAGCGTCAAAAACAAAATAACCTTTACCAACAACAACACATCCAAACACACCTACTACAACTGAGTATAATAAAGTAATAAGAAACCACAAATAAAAAAAAAAAACGAATCAAATGAATTTGTACACTGCGATTTAATAAACAGGATTAATTTATACCCGGTTAAAAACAAAAAAACCCTAAAATGGATATAAAAATATGAGACGATCATAGAAAAAGCTAGCCATCGCTTTTCGTCTAACGCAACTGAAGGCGTATGAAAATGAAAATATTAAAAAGACATCACAGGTATAAAGAACTAAAAAGAACTACTCGAAAAAACAACAGGAGTACAACGATAAATATAAAAAATAACCAACTGCATAATGTAACCATTTAAAAAAATTGAAACAATCCTAGTGGCTTCAGCATCAAATAAAGACAACCAAGTAAGAAATAGGAATAAAGGAACCTTTGGTAAAAAATATAAAAGACAAGGCAGCATACAAAAAGCTGCCCTCACAATTAAAGGCCCGTAATTTAAAGAAGATACTTCCTTTAACATAAGATGAATATAATAGAATCAAGATTGATGGCAGTCTAGTTAATAAAAATTAAACAGAAAATTATCAAAACGAAATAAACTGCTCAGAATAAAGATACTTACAAAAAATTATATATAGTAAAGGAAGCATGAAAACCCCATTAAAGCAGCAAAACAGAATTAAATGACTACGAGAAAGACAAAAATCTGAAGATTAATCGCAGGCCAAAGAAGAAAATGCTACGCTTCCCTCCTTAACCACAAATACTAGAGAACAGTTCATATACAACTAAGAAAAATATTAACAAGACCAAACAAAAAGGTACAGATTCTAAAACAAAATAATTTTTACCAACAACAACAATTCAAACACACCCACTCAAACTGAGTATAATAAAGTAATAAGAAACAACAAAGTAAAACCTAAAAACGAATCCAACGAATTTGAACACTCCGAATCAATAAAAAGGATAAATTTATACAAGATCAATCACAAAATAAACCCTAAAAAGGCATAAAAATATGAGACGATCTTAGAAAAAGCTAGCCATCGCTATCCGTCTAACTCACCCGAAGCCGTAATATAAATGAAAATACTAAAAAGATATCACAGGTATAAATAACTATAAAAACTACCAGAAAAAATAACAGGAGTACAA